ATGATTATTTGGAAGCATGGACTTGAAGGTTTGCAGAAATTTGTTATGCTGAAACTCTTTGTTGCTTTATCAGGAGTCTCAGGAATTGCAACGTGCAAGGATCAATCCCTGACATAAGCAGGATACCCAGCCTATATTATCTGTAAGTTTAAATGTTTATTCTTTATAAATCATTTATGATGGAATGGTTTTCCGGTTAGAGAATTAAATTTAAATGTAACTGCTATATCTTCTTTTCATGATTTTGGCTATATAAACTTCAGGGACCTGAGTTCAAACCATCTAAGTGGACCCATTCTCACTAGTAAGATTTCAAAGAATATCACGACCATGTAAGATTCTCTTTCTTTCAGTCTACAATTTTTTTGTTGTTTTGCTTCCTTTTAAGATTTTGAGAATACTTTAGATTACAATACTGGTGATTTCCTTCAATTTTGACATTTATGGTCTGGATATATGTGCAGTGATTTATCCAACAATGAGCTTAATGGAACTATTCCTGCCAGCTTTTCGGGTCTACCTCTTCTCCAGAATCTGTGAGCATTTTCTGCTTGGTCTCCTCTAATTTGTTTCTTGTCTTGTGAACACTACAAATTAAGTTAGTAGTTAATCACATCGCGGTATATTTAACTGTGTAATTAACTAAGTGGATTTAAAAGTGTTAGATAATCCTCTTGGCAGGATACTCGCAAATAATTCATTGAACGGCTCGATTCCATCCTCCATTTGGCAGAACAGGACTCAAAATGTATCAGAGAGTCTCAAAGTGTAAGTCCTGAAAAGATTTAAGTTAATATTTCCCTTGGCTAAAAGTGAATTTCTGTGGGTGCATAAGTGAGCACGTTTTTCTTTATTTGGATTCTGAACCCCACATCACATTTCTTATTTTTCAACTTTAGCACCCTCATGTATTTTCACTTGAGATCAATAGTGTAATCTATGTGTTGTTCAATGAATGATTTTGGCATCTTGTTTAGTTAATCAATGCTCTACGGCTCTTTACATTGTGCAGGGATTTGGAGTACAATTCTCTTGACAGTATTTCTGGCAGTTCTGACCTCCCCCAAAATGTCACTCTCTGGTTTGCTCCTGGCCTTTCTTCTGCTTTTACTTTGGTGGATTATATGTGTATTCACTTTCATATCCATTTTCTTCATCTGCAATTTAACGTGCCCTTGCATGTTTGCTTACTGAAAAGTGAAAACTCTGTTCTTTTTTTTTTTTCTTTTTTTTTTTGGACTCTTGGTTCTATACCTTTTAAGGATTAAAGTGCTATACTTTTCTATATTTATAAATAAAAGTGGGGCCTAAAGTGAAATTACACTCTGAAGTTGAATATCTTCTTGTGTTTCAGGCTTAAAGGGAATCCTATATGCTCGAATCCGACAAATGGCAATATAGTTCTGTTCTGCAGAACTAAAAGTGAGAATGAAAGTATGATAAGCACTGCAACAAACTCCATCACTAACTGTCCACCAGAATCATGCCCACCGTCATATGAGTATTCCCCTACATTTCCTATCCCTTGCTTTTGTGCTGTGCCTTTGCCTGTAGGATATCGGTTGAAAAGTCCTGGCTTTTCCGATTTTCGTCCATATATAGAAGCATTTGAGGTGTACCTGACTAATGGTCTCAGTTTAAAGCTTTTCCAACTGTACATAAATTCATTTGCATGGGAAGGACCAAGGCTGAGAATGTACTTGAAGCTTTATCCTGTTTATAATGCCAGTAGCAGCAATTCTAATTTATTCAATGAAAGTGAAGTCAGACGAATTAGGAGCATGTTCACTGGATGGAGGATCAATGGTAGTAACATATTTGGACCTTACGAACTTATAAACTTCACTTTGTCAGATATCTATAAGGATGGTTTGTCTCAGAATCTTCATCTATTATATTTTTCCCCCCTTTTTTTTTATTGAATTATATGAACTTATGGATCATGCAACCTTTTCCCCATGCCAGGCCTATATTCTCTCCTCTGTGGGTAATGCATAATTCTTCTTCTTCTTCTTCTTCCTTCTTTTGGCCAAACATAATTCTTCAAAACTTGAAATTTCTTATTTGGTAATTTTGTGTTTGTCCTTTAAAATCCTTCAACTAAGAAAAGAAAATTTCAATAAGCTCTAATTTCTAGATGTTTCACTGGACTCACGCATGCTGATCTGTGTACCACCTTTTTCCATGCACTTAGATATCCTTATAAGGACTATTTATTCATATCTTTCATTTTTTTAATTATTATATTCTCATATAATGTTGCAGAATTTCGCATCCCTTCATCAGACATGAGTCCAGGTGCATTGGCTGGCATAACACTGGTGACCATTGGTGGTGCAGCTGCAGTTACATTGTCTGCAATTGTTTCAGTTATTTTCTTGAGAAGGCACCTGAGGAACTACCGTGCAGTTGCAAAACGACGTCAGGGTGAGTATCTTAAAATTCCGAAGATAGTATGTGCAAGGAGATTGACTGTATTATATATCCATGTATTGTTTTTATTCATTTCCAGAGTGCTTGTCCATGCAGACTATAGTTTCCTTTCAGATATTACTCAAAAATAAATCTTGATGCTTTTATGATATTTGTCTATGCATCTTTCTTTTGGGATCATTTTGGATTCAAGTCACTGTAGTAGAACACTTTCTTTTATCCAAATGTATCATGCTCGTCATCTCCTAGACATTTTTTGGGACAAGTCCTATACATTTTTCAGGGGAACAAAAGGAATGAATGGAACATCCTTATCCTTAAATGTAAAAATATTAAAAGTTTAGTCCTTAAATGTTAAAAAACTTAATGATTGAGGTCTTGTACTGTTAGAAGAAGTTCAGGGACTGATTTCATATCAATGCTTACTGAACAAATGGCTTGGTAGACTAATGACATGTAAACGTACACTTGGCATGTGAGTGCACAGTGAGAGAAGGGCAGTATAGATTGAAAGTGGAATGCTTTAAAATCCCACTAACTTTGGTCAGA